GTTTATCAACTAGTAAGGTGAAAAGGAAGGCAGCTGGACACTTACCTAATAAGTCTTGATAGTTCTGTGTTAATATTTAATATTTTCAACTCAAGGCCTTTTGGAAACTAGTATCTATGAAATATTTCTTCTAAATTGTACTTCTAAATGACTAGGAAGTCTAAACTGCACTCCGAATGTGGGCCTATTTGGTTATCTTTATACACTGATGAGGGTAAAGTGGCATGCTCATAATTTACTGGCTTTTAACTACTTCTTGAAAGATGTTTGACCTTTGGTTTATCCACATCTTTAATAATGACTGTTGTCATGAGTTTCTACTGTATGTTGCAAATTAGTTTACAGGTCAGGATTTTGTAATCATTATGTACTAAACACTTAATAACTTTATAAGTTCTCTTACATGTCTTTAAGCCAGTATTGATTAATGGACTTTTAATCAATTGTTTGACTATGTAACTGCCAAGTAAGAAACTTACCAACTCAGTTCCATTGTTGTGGTTCTTGTGCTTCGAAATACTTTTACTAGAAAACAGTAAGATGCTAGTTTATAGAAATACTTTTCACAATATTAAATTGCCTGTTGCTTGGGAAAAGTTTTGTGGAATTTATTTTAGATGATGTCTGACTATAAAAGCATTTAAGATTCAGAGAGGCTTAGCATGGGATTATTCATTTAAAAATACCAAATACATATTGGTGTGGCAAATTTCAAGTCCTTTCATTGCAGATTTTAAAAAGTAGGATGCATCATGAAAAATCTGTCAAGCATTTGAAAAAAATTGATATTCTTTTTATGGTGAGTATGGACTTCTGATTCCATTCAAGACTTCTACATATGTTGTGCATCTACTTTGTACCAAGACTTTTTCTAGGTGATTGGGACACAGAAACAATGGTCCTTGGCTTCTTGAATAGCTTGCATACTATTCTAGTAGGAAGGGGAACAGAAATAATAGGTACAGTAAATTATTGAGTAGATGTTAGAAGATAATATATGCTATGGGACAAATTAAGGGGAATTTGGTGGCTACTATTTAGAGTGATCAGGATAGGCCTGCTGAACCAAGGCTTGAAGAAAGTGATGGAGATGACCCTGAGTGCTATGCTGAAAATAGTAATGAGGGTAGAATCAGGGAGATAAGTTCAGAGTCCATTGTAGTAATCCAAGGGGGATATGATGGTGATTTGGATAAGGGTGGTAATGAAGGAAGTGGACGGAATCCAGATACAGTTGAAGGCATAACTCTTGCGATTTCCTGACTGTGTAAATTGAATATTGGGAGGAAAAAACTCATTACGAGGCAGGCATGCTTCTACACACTTAAAGTCCTAGGGCAAGAATACAATGGAGACATATGTTTAAATATTTAAAAGTTCTGTTTAATGAAAATATGCCCAATGTGCCTATCTTCATAAATATACCTTCATTAGAACTGAGAAGCCAGGTTTATATTTATGTCGAAATATAACTTGGGGGAAGAGCTGACTCTCAGCCCATGTCCCACCCTTTCTTCCTACCCCTGGCTCTGAACTGTATGGCAAGGAGCTTCCTGCGCATTCACTTGGATGCCAGTGCCAGTATATTCAAACTGTCCATCCCCCTAACACATCAGGACATGCAATGATGATGTAATGCATTTTCTGGAACAGCTGGAGCTATTCTGGGCAGGATATTTGGGGTCCTGAGTACCTAAAGGAGTGCAGAATGAGTATGCTCTCTAGCTGACATGTCATCTTGACTCTAGAGCGCACAATCCTAAAGCTCAGGGCTCTGGATAAGGGCCTTTCCTGGCCTGGTGTTAAGGGCAGTACTGACCTAGGGGCTTTAGTTTGAACATCTGTACAGAGTATTGCTGTCAACTGAGAAAGGGGGCTGCAGGTAGAATAGATTAGGGTGAGGAAAATAGTTTGGGAGCTCATTTACATGTTTGATTTCTCAGACTACACAGGCAGTACTGTAGAGAGACATAAATGGAGAATATTCAACTTACAGTAGCAGTGACTGGCCTGGAGTATATAAAAAAAAATGAAGGCTATTTTTCACTACAGTGAATTCTAACCTATAAACTGGAGTAGTTCCATTCAGGAATTTGTTACAACCTGTCATTTATAAATTATGGACTTCTCTGAGCTATCCAGAGTGTTCTTTTTCAGTTTGTTTGTTTGTTTTTTTTTTTTAGATTATTTTCTATAACCTAAAATCCACTCAGACTTAAACGTCTAGTGAACTATTCAGTGAATGGTTTTACTAGTAAGTGTTCCCTTGCCTAGTATGTTTATTATTTTTTAACTTTAGTGGTTTATTCTTTGGCAATAAGCAGTTGGATATAAGTTGGGGATATAAATTTGGGACCCTGGCATATAGATGCTATCAAAAGTGATGAGACTAGGTATCAATAAGAGAGCGAGTATAGATAAGAAAGCCAAAGACTAAGACGTGGGGCAGTCCAACATTAAAAGGTTGGAGGGGAGAGAAACTCATAGAGGAGACACCAGAGATACAAAGTGATGTTCTTGAAGCCAGTGATGAACTTTATCCAAGAGAAGAAAATGAGCTGCCCAATGCTGCTGATAGACATCTTTAAATTGCCAACTGTAAAAGGCACCTTGAATTAGCCATTTCAAATTTGTTTACCAATGCAATGGTTTTGTTGGCTAGTTTTCTAAACTTCAGTAACTTTTAAGTGATATTTGTAGGTTTTTATTGTACATACAGCTGAAGTTTTGTTTTTTGTTTTTGTTTTTAAGCAGAGTTTGCTCTGTTGCCAAGGCTTGTACAGTGGTGCAAACCTAGCTCCTGCAACTTTGAACTTCTGAGCTCAGACAGTCCTCCACTTCCACCTCACAAGTAACTGGGACTACAGGCATATGCACCACACCCGGCCAAACTTCTTTTACTTTTGTAGAGGGAGATCTTGCCATGTAGCATAGGGCTCAAGGGATCCTCTTGTCTCAGCCTCCCAGAGTGTTGGTATTACAGGTGTAAGCCACCACGCCTGGCCCAACATATTTTTTTTTTAAGTTATTTTCTGTGGATTTACTCATTGTCTTAAAATTTTGACAAATATGGCCATTTTGACATATTTGCCAAATATTAGCATATGGCAGCTCAACTATGTTCTTAATTTGTTAAGTCACCAACTGTTGGTGGTGATTGTTGAAATAAGTAAGAGCAAAGTTGTCACCAATCTATGGGATTCTTATATTACTGATATTTTTCAGTAATGCACTGTAGTCAGACCTCGTAGACTTTAACTCTGAGCTACTCACAAAATTACTAAATCATTGTGAAATACCTAACTGGAAATGTGGGCCTTTAAAGTCTAGTTATTATTAAATGAGTGAGTTTGAAACTTGTGCTGGCTGTTCAGACATTTTCAAATGAGAACAGAATGCATTTGTTTCAGACTGATAAACTGCAGAAGGTTAAATAACACCAAATACACTTTAAGTTTCTCCTAAGAAAATGACTTGGGCCTCCAGACTACATCTCATTTTTTATACCCTATCAAGTTTGTGTTTTTCCATATGAAATGTCTTTCCCAATTACACCTGCCCTTGGAGACTCTGAATAACAGACTTAAAGGACGTATCCTTTCCAGATGAGTTGAAGAATGTCAACCTCTTAAAAGACTGAACAGCTGGTCATGTAGAAATTCTCTGGAATGCTCACTTGTCCTACAAGGGGAGAGGGGACAGAAAACATGTTAGGTGTAGTTCTTTGTTATTGGTATACAGAATTGTAAATCTTTGAGACACAGTTTTACTAGAAGTCTACATAATTTTAAAAATTGTCTTTCTCCTGAAAAGATTGCTAACCAATTAACAATGTGAAGGCCAGAGATCTGGCCAAGTGTAATTTAGTGGGACTCAGGATTGCTAGCTGGATTGTCCGGTTTGATCAGACGTTGTTTCTTAGGTGAAGATTCAGGACGCCCCCGTGTATAAAAGTTATCCTTTGTTCTGATTACCTTGGGATTAAGTTCGAATTTCTTACCACGACACACAAAGGATTCAATTCTTGCTTAGCTCTCTAAGCTACTCTCACTTTCTCTTCCCCTCTTGAATTCTTCGCTCTTGCCACACAACTAGCAGATGAGCTAATCTGTCTGTTCCAGTTTGGGCACAGTAGCAGCCCTTCCTCTTAACCTTGGCCCACTCTGACTTGTCCAGCCCTGGTTTAATTCTTCGTGTCCTCGTGAGGGTCCGCACATGCTTGGGGCTGTTTACTAAAGGGATGAATTTTCCTAGCAGGAGGCTAGGTCTCAGTTATGCTTTACTTCCCAGGAAGCGGCTTCTATACGCACTGTTTAAATGTAGGAGTAGGAGGGAGCTGGGGCAGTGCCTTCCCGGGGTCACAGATAAATGAGATTCCAAAACCAAGATCTGGCCAGGCGCTTGGAAAGAGACCCGCGGAGGACGATCAGGCATTTGGAACTGTGCCTTGCAGTGTGGGATCTCAGCACCAGACGTTCCCCCGGTTTGTAGTTAGAAAGCTGAGTTACTGTTTTAAGAGACGTTGCACACCGTCCCGACGGGTCAAGAAGACGGGCTAGTGCCTGCGGTTGGGGTCGAGAAAAAGCAGGCGAGATGCGATCTGACGTGGGTCCGCCTTTCTCCACCCGTGGCAAACCCGACAGTCGCACTACTGCTTTCACAATCGCCCTCTTCAAGAAGAGCTACTTCGTGACCGTGAGGGAACATGCGTGGGAAGCACGATGTCCTCTCTGTGCGCTCGGTTGTTTACCCAGCGTCCGGGGGAGGCACACCCGCGGGACCGGCCCCGGCCTCGCAGCTAGCCCAGACCACGACGCTGGTTCTGCGGGCTCTCGGAGCCCAGCGCAAATCCCCAGTGCTAATTCGCAAGGACCGAGACGCAGCACTGCCAGGAGGCTGCCCCTGCCTGCGCAGCCGGGTCCTTACTGTCCCAGGCTGTTAGCACAGAGCCTCGCGGTCCTGGGAGAGGCTGGACGCGGGGGATGGCCTCGCAGCGCCCTGTGAGCGTCAGCATTAGTCGCCAGGCAGCCAGGGCTCCTTGGGCGATCGCCCCGGGTGGAGGAGAGGAGTTTCCGGGGCTCGGGTCCCGGTCGCTTTCCAGGGGAACTAGCGCGGAAGCAAGTGGGCGGCGAGAGGCGGAGCGAGGGACGCGGGGGGCGTGGACACAGCCGGCTTTGGAAAGGCCCCAAGTTAATGAGGCGTGCGCCGGCTGCCGAGCGCCTCTCGGTGCTGGGCTTTTCCCCGCGGTGCGGGCGCCAGGAGCCGCCTTTTCCGCTGGGTGTCACTCGGGGGTGGGGAAGATGGCCCATTCAAAAGCGCCGCGAGGGGGCCAAGCCAGTGCCCTTCAGTGAGCGCTCGCAAGAGGACGGCAGAGGCCCGGCGGCTCGCAGCTTCGGGACCTTGTGGCGCATCAGGACGCGGCTGTCCCTCTGCCGGGACCCAGAGCCGCCGCCGCCGCCGCTGTGCCTCCTGCGTGTTAGCTTCCTCTGCGCGCTCCGGGCAGGCGGCCGTGGGAGCCGCTGGGGTGAGGACGGCGCGCGGCTGCTGCTGCTGCCCCCCGCCCGAGCGGCTGGAAGCGGAGAGGCCGAGCCTAGCGGCGGCACCGCTTATGCTGGCAGGATGCTGGAGAGCAGCGGCTGCAAGGCTCTGAAGGAGGGCGTGCTGGAGAAGCGCAGCGACGGGTTGTTGCAGCTCTGGAAGAAGAAGTGCTGCATTCTCACCGAGGAGGGGCTGCTGCTCATCCCGCCCAAGCAGCTGCAGCAGCAGCAGCACCAGCAGCAGCAACAGCAGCAGCAACAGCAGCAGCAGCAGCAACAGTCCGGGCAAGGGCCGGCGGCGGAGCCGTCCCAACCCAGCGGCCCCGCTGTCACCGCCCTCGAGCCGCCGGTCAAGCTCAAGGAATTGCACTTCTCCAACATGAAGACGGTGGACTGTGTAGAGCGCAAGGGCAAGTACATGTACTTCACTGTGGTGATGGCAGAGGGCAAGGAGATCGACTTTCGGTGCCCTCAAGACCAGGGCTGGAACGCGGAGATCACGCTGCAGATGGTGCAGTACAAGAATCGTCAGGCTATCCTGGCGGTCAAGTCCACGCGGCAAAAGCAGCAGCACCTGGTCCAGCAGCAGCCCCCACTGGAGCAGCAGCCGCAGCTCCAGCCCCAGCCCCAGCCCCAACCCCAGCCCCAAACCCAACCCCAACCCCAGCCTCAGCCTCAGCCCCAGTCACAGCCCCAGCCACAGCCCCAACCTAAGCCTCAGCCCCAGCAGCCCCACCCGTATCCGCATCCACATCCACATCCGCACGCTCATCCGCATCCGCACCCGCACCCGCACCCGCATCCGCGCCAAGTACCGCACCCGCACCCACAGCCGCACTCGCAGCCGCACGGACACCGGCTTCTCCGCAGCACGTCCAACTCCGCCTGAAGGGGGCAGCTCCCGGGCCAGACAAGGTAGGGTCCCGGCACTCGCGCTCCCGAGGCGTGAGTCTCAGGGTGTTGGGAGGAGTAGGCAGCCTGTTCATAGGTTCGGCTCCTGTGTGGAGAAATGAGAACTCTTTCCAAGTTTCTGGGGAGGTGGAAAGAACAGAACCAAACTGGAGCCAGAAGGGCCTGGGCAGAGAGGGGAGGCTGGGGAGACCCGGGCCAGGCAGGGGCCTCGCGGACCGCGCCCACGCCCTTCATGACCTTCCTGGTCCAGGGGTGCGCCCCCAGCCCTACTTGGCTGTGTGTCTGGGCACTTGAGGGAGAAACCCCGGTGTCTTTCTGAGCCCGCTTTGTCAGCCGGACTGGTCTCGGAGGATTCTTAGCCACCTACTTGACTCGGTGTCATTTCTTTCCAGGTTTTGAGGACTTGAGGAAGTGGGACGAACACATTTCTATTGTCTTCACTTGGATCAAAAGCAAAACGGTCTCCCCGCCCCGCACCAGATCAAGTAGTTTGGACATTACCCTACTGAAAACTTGCGATTCTTCTTAGTTTTCTGCGATGCAGGAAACGATTTCAAGTCAAGAAGACTTTATTTATGAACCTTTCAAAGGATCTTCTAGCACGGTGAATTTTATAGGAGGGATGATGTACTGTAATTTTATTTTAATGTATTTTGATTTATGGTTATTTATTAGTTTTTTTAAATGCTTGTTCTAAGACATTTCTGAATGTAGGCCATTTGTCAAAAAGGAAACATTATTTTCAAAAACCTATTCCATAGTAAGTCCTAATCTCGGAAAATAAAAAAGGGCGGTGGAGGGAAAAATATTAAGAATCTATTCATTATTCCTATTTTCAGAAGGTCTGACATTTTTCATTGTTATGCCAGGTGGTTGAAATTAAACTCTGATACTACTTTTTTTGAGTTTTTTTTTTTTTTCTTTTTCCATAGACATAGAGTTTGTATGGAAGTTTTAAAAAGCTAAAAGTTCAAAATGGTGTAATTATGAAAATCTAATGCTCGAGATAGTTTCTAAAAGGAAATCAGTGAGGATACCTGATTTCAAAATATTTAAAACATAACCTAACTGATGGTAGGATGATTATATCTCGAATATGTGGTAGGGTCACATCTACTATAGGAAAACCTAGCTTATATCATCTGTGTGTAAAGGGCTTAATAAGGAGATGAGGACTTTTGACTGATTTATGAGTATAAGTACGTTTGCTGTTTTATTTCAAAAGTGTTGTGGAGGAAAAGAGTAGATTTAACTTGTGTAAGAGAATATTTGTGCTCCTGTCCAGGCTGGGGGACCTTTCTCTGAGAGCTTTGCACACTTGACTTGAACTACATTTTCTGATCCCTTTACTTTGTTTTAGAAACACACTGAAAAATCTCATTGTTTAAATTACAATTTGTAGATATTTCAAAGGTCTAGGAGTCATAACTTTTTGTTTTCTTACGGAAAATGATGTTGATCAGAGAAATCAACTGTTTTGCTTTTCATTGCTCGGTGAGAAACGTGATGATTCTGTTTTGTTGTTAGGTTAGTTAAACTCAGAGATTGAAAAGGAAAAGACTCGATAAACACAGGATTTTCAGTAAGAGGACAACCCCAGTCTTGTCTTAGAAGCCACTTGCTGAGGAGTCCGGGGGGAAAAAAAAGAGGATGCGCTTTTAAAGGTAGAACAAACCTTCTTCTGTGTTAAATCAAAAGGATGGTCAAAATCCACCAGGGCAGATGCTACTTAAGTTTAAATGGAGCCATAGATGAGACCAAGTCCTCTTGGGGCTGAAAATCGCTTCCTATCTGCATGGCTTTACTAACTGGTTTCTGTTTTCCATTATCTTTTTCACAGAAAGTCTTGGTCAGTACTTTTCCGGCATTTAAATGGAAATGGTCAGTATCAGACCACTGCTAGGTTATGTAGCCAAGAAATAAAAAACAGAATTGTATGCCACAGATGCCTTTATTCTCCTTCCATCTAGAAAGGAATTGCAAGGTCAAATTACTTTTTAGTGCAATAAATGATGACATTTTGGGATCATAATTCTTATCCAAAAAGTTGCAGGGAAAAGTAAAGCAAATGGCAAACAAAACTTAAGTGGACCCCCACTCCCAGTGGTTGTGTAGGTTGCAGTTATGAAAAAATGCTGCCAACATTCAGAAACTCATTTCATATGTATATATATATATACCCTTACATGAATATGTATGTATATATGTATACATCTGAGCGCATGTATGTGCACATATATGCATACATAGGTATGCATATATGAATACATATATAAATATGTGTATAGGAATACATATATGAATATGTGTATATGTACATGTATGTATGTATGTATGTATATGAAATGAGAGCCAGAGCTAAAAATTTCTCAAATCAAGTTTGGTTCAGCTTCCTTAGGACTACAGGTGTACTTTTTGAGGAGTACCTCATAGTACTATACTTTTAATACATGCAAATCATAATAACTCCAAATGAATCATGGTTTTTTCCCAATGGAGAATTTATCTTTTAAATTCTTGTACTAAAAAAAAATACATATATACATACCAAATACCTTACAAATTAAGATTGATGTAGGTTTTTAAAAGGGCATTTGTATGTTAGCTTACATAAAGGGCTAAGTAATTTCATTGTTTCAAAAAATATGCCCAGGCTACCTCTTGGCGGCTGGTTTTTTTTTCCCCCATGGTGGCTATGGTTCTTAATAGGACCACCAGAATCACGGTTTCTTGTCTTTCTCTAGCCCTTGTTCCTTAGTCTGCTGTGATATTTATGTTGACTTGACCTTTATGACTTTCTAGTCTGAACCCCTCTTAGCATTTAACTGTGAAATCTAAGAAATTAGAGAATAGAATGGCTTTTATTATTTTGACACCTTTGAAATTATTATTAATAATTTTTCCAGAGCAAAAAAGCAAACATGCTCAACAAGACTAAACAAAACAAAATATAAATGTATATCATGTAATGTCTCAGTGGCTCTATTCTACCTGTAAGAAATGATACAAACCACCTAAGGTATTTTGAAGACTGACAAATCAGCTTCATGGAAAAAGGTAAAAAATGTCTTTTTCAACCCAAGGAAGAGAAGACTGAAAGGGCAGATCCAGTAGAAAACCCACTCCTTAAATAAAAGTAAAATGTAAAACGTTGGAAAATTAAGAGTCATGCTTCATCTGGAAACTGAACTTTTGTCCTTGAACTTGTGTTGGCACCAAGCCTCATACACAGTGAGCTCAATAACTATTTGTTGGGACAAAGGAAGGACAAAATGTGTCACTCCCCAGCATCTGGGAGGTGCTGTCTCTTGCCTCACTGAGCGCTTCTTTTCTTTGCTTTCATGTCATTCCCTGAGAACAGTTAATTCTGGGACAGGCTAAACATGATGAGTTTCTTAAACAGACTTTCTTAGTGGAAATCCATTTAGATCTGTGTATGCTCTATGGGCACTGCTGACGTCAGAGAGTAAATGTCTGTCGAGGCCCTTTTAAAATGAACATTTTCCTCATTGAGCGAGCTGGGATCCTCTACTCATGTAGAAATCAAGGCAGCTTTATAATTTTACTTCAAATGTTTATGTTTTTGTTTCTTTGTCTCCAAAAATGGTAAAAATAAAAAACACACACATTACTTAAGGAGTCTTGCTCTCATGTAAACACTATTAGGAAGTCTGGATTAAGTTGAAAATCCTGTTTTAACTCCGTTTTTGCTCTCATCTACCAAACACTTTGTATTTCTCATAAAGAAGCCCTTTCTCTTAAGAGAAAACCCTCATTTTAAATCTGACATTAAAGTTTGCTACAAGTATATGAGTTCAACCATATCCCTTGTTTTCTGTCCCTAGGAAAAAAGTTATGTGGTTTTAGCATGGCTCCAATGTTAACAATATTATATTCAGTAGCAGGCTTAGAAGAGTGGTCTAAGACTGGAACCTGGAGCAATCCTATAGCACCGAATCCTATGAAGATAGGTCTGTGAAGCATTTGTTTTCTTTTTGTGTGTGTCGAACTAATTGGTTTTTGCTTTGCCAATAAAATATCCTAAGCAGAATACATTTTAAATATGAAAACTATAGATCCTGGTTTTGAATCCATCAGTGATTCAAGAGATACACCTATTTGCTTAAAACAACCTAAGATGTATTAGTTATGGAATTATGCTGGTTCGGTTCTTAAGGCCTATTTCCTGAATTCTTGACACAGTTTTCAAGGATGGCTTTTTGATTTGCACGGTTGAGCAGCCAATCCAGATTTACTTAAGATTGGGTAAAAAAAAGTGATTTGTGACTTTGTTGGCAGGGCGTTTGCTAAATGGAGTATAGGATCTAACAGGGTTTTCTTAGGGCAATATTGTCCAATGAAGGAAGCAGGAGGACTCTGGGCTAGAAGCATCTGCATCAAAGCTGGTGAGACTTACTCTCCATTGCTCTGCAGCTGGTCGGCTGATGGCAGGCTGAGCAGTGGGGAAGCAGGTTTTAACAATAGGCAATCCTTCCAGGTCGCTGTATGTTGAGAAGAAACATAAAACTGTTATCTGTTACATTCCAAGGTCAGCCTTCTGCTTAACATTTCATAGTATACAAATGTCAGCTTCTGGAAAGCAAGTATCACCATGTACCAGATGCTTTATATACCATCACATTCGTGAATTTATTAGCATGGTCAGAATTTGTGTAAATATATCTCTTAGAGGATTTTGGGGAAATGTGATTTATTTTTCATATTTTCAAAATGCATTCCATTTCAAATAAAGTGTCTGTTGAGACAACTGACCTGTGGACCTTTTGAAGGCCTCATTCAACTGGCACCTGCATTGTGTGTTCTGTGAAACAGAGATTCTGAATCGCTTGGCCATTCCGAAAAGACAAAGACCATGTTTGAAGTTGGGATTTCATTTTTTTAAAAATTCACTGGGAATTTGGAATATGAAAATTCACTCAGGTCTGTTGGTGAAAAACTTAGCTTTCAGAATGCTAATGTTTAGTTGAATTTTCCATAGTTTCTCAAAGGACCAGAAACAGTCCCCAGTGAATTAGCTCAACAGCAATTCCCTCTATAGTCCTAGAGGTAGTCGAATTCTCGTAGGTCTCTTGGGAGGGTAAAGCTTTGACTCTGAGTCATCCTTCAAACAGGTATTCATAAACCTTCCTATTTTGTGTTGAAAGCAGAAGAGGGACTTTGTTCTTTAAAGAAAAATAGCATTAACTTTATTCTTACAATCCTCACTGGCATCTAAAAGTCTTTACATCGCAAAAGACTTTAAAATAGGAGACTTGAAGGCATTCTGTTTTTATCCCTTAGCATAGTCTTACATTGACAGCTTTATTACTCTTTTTTTTTTTTTTTTTAACAAAAAATGTGAGAAGACCAATTACTGTCATGCTGAGGGGACTTCAGGGACACTGCAAAATAAATGTATATAATAGGCGGTAATGCAGGATTGGTAAGAGCCAGGATTTGAGAATCGTATTACACAGGTTCAAGTCCCAGATCCACAATTATCATCTGTGTAGATCTTGAATTACTTAAACTCTTGGAAACTCAGTTTCCTTTTCTGTAAAATGGAGTAAATGAAGGTACTTATTTCAGGGTTATTGAGGAGAATTAATATGTTAGGATACATAGAAGTACTTAGAGCAGTGCCCGGCATCACTATGAAAGAAAGAGCCTTGCATTAGGATAGATTAACAGGTGGGGAATTGTTACAGCCATACTATATAATATATGGTATTCTGAAGCTAGGCATTGTATTTTCTAAGATCTCAGCACATCTTTATTTATTTATTTATTGAGTCAGAGTCTTGCTCTGTTGCCCAGACTAGAGTACAGTAGTGCCATCTTGGCTCACTACAACCTCTACCTCCAGGGTTCAAGTAATTCTCCCACCTCAGCCTCCTGAGTAGCTGGGATTACAGGTGTGTACCACCGTATCTGTAGTAAAGATGTGGTTTCACCATGTCTCCCAGTCTGGTCTTGAACTCCTGACCACAAGTGATCCCAAAGTGCTGGGATTGCAGTTTGAGCCACCATGCCTGGCCTCAGCACTTCTTTTTAAATGGTAAGAACAGTATGCTTGACCACATCCTTGAATTCAACTTTGAAAAAAGAGAAAAATACATTATACAAATATTATTTAAACTTTTATTATCTCTTTTGAGGCGGAGTTTCACTCTGGCGCCCAGGCTGGAGTGCAGTGTGGCACAATACTGCAACCTCCGCCCCAGAGTAGCTGGGATTCCAGCCATGCACCACCATGCCTGGCTAATTTTTGTATTTTTAACAGAGACGGGGTTTCACCATGTTGGCCAGGCTGATCTTGAACTCTTGACCTCAGGTGATCCACCCACCTTGGCCTCCCAAAGTGTTGGGATTAGAGGCATGTGCCACCACACCCAGCCTATTATTATTTTTTAGAGATACGATCTTGCTCTGTTGCCCAGACTGGAGTTCACTGGTGTGATCATAGCTCACTGCAGCCTGGAACTCCTGGGCTCAAGCATCCTCCCACCTCAGCTTCCGAAAGTCCTGGGATTACAGGCATCAGCCACCATGCGTGCAAGTGCTACCATATTAATGACAATTTTAATTTGCTTATTACTTTCCAGTCTTGGTCCACATACTCATGTATTTTAAGTTACTGACAAATGATTCAATAAAAATAATCATATATGAAGCTGTGGTGCTCTTCCCGGATTGCTACTTCAGGACAGAGTCATTCAGTCATCATATGTGGAAATGACAGTGGCTATCATGTTCTCAGCAAGTCCTTTCCCTGGGGACCCATTGTCTCCTAGAGCACACTGCCCCCCCACCTTGTGGGTAGCCTATATCCAGTGGGTCTGTGGGGAATGGACTAAGGCCTGGCCAACTGCAAAAGTTCATCCCAGCTGCAGAGCGGCCCGTGGAATTGGCTGAGGCCTCTCACAACCAGTGGGCATTG